GATGAGAGAAAGACAATAATCAAAAGCTTCAGATGCTTTTCGTTTACTTTTATTTTGTAGATTCGCTATCAAATTGCATACATCTCTTGGTTAAATTGTAAGTCCGAAGCTAATAAGTTTATTTAAAAAAAAAAATAATAATGCGGACGGACAGAATCCACACGTGATCTATATTTTTACCAAGGATCGTAAACATAGAATGTCCTTCGCTCTGCTTCGGACAATGAGAAATGCCATTGTATTCTTAAAATTATTAAATATATTTCAAACCTTAAATAATAAACTTATCGCGTTGATTGATTATCCAATATACATGTAATTTAGTTAATGTGGCTAATAGAAAAATCGGAGCTTGTGTTTTCTGGCAGAAATAACATGATTGAAAGTTAGCAATATTCAGAACCAGTCAGATCAAAGTCGTCTCAAAAGATAGGGCTAAATCTGATCCGAACGAACTTCGGGTTGGGTTTGGGTCGAGTTTGTTATTTTCGTTATTTCCTTTATTTCTTTTATTTGTGTGTCAATGTTGATAAAATGAAAGAGAATAGAATTCAGAATGATAATAATACCATCATACTTACCTAATTTACCTTTCCTAATAGATTCTCCAAATCCCACAAACTTGCCAAACCCTTCCCCCCTGTAAACTTATCTGAACCCTGCCCCGAAAATACCGTGGGCCAAAGATTGCGCCGTGATCATATCGCCAACCCAGACCCGCAATAATAGATCAATTCTTTTAGTAATTGATCGTCCAGAAAGGTAAGAGTGCACATTCCAATAAAAGACGTACTGTACAGTATGGATCACATTTATTAATTTCTTGAAGAATCACCCTAAATAAATTCGGATATAAAGTTAGCATACGGTTAAATTTATAAATGCTTTTGATAGAGCTTACTGTATATTCCGCAATCTGACCTGATAATCTGTGGTCTAAAACTGATGAATTATGCTTAAGTCACATTAAGTGAAACAAAAACTTACATACACTGAATGGACGAAAGTTTACGTCCGAAGTAATTGTCTAAAAACAAATGGTTATTAAACTTACGTAGTTGCCAGATTTCGATGCTTAACCGATAAGAGACGCGAAACTTAGTTAATATCCAAACAAGATTGTTGAGTGTGAAAAAAAATAAAACGTGTCAGTAATGTGTAGATAAAACGCATTTAAATAGCATGTCCTAGTAAACATCAGCATAATAAGCTTGGGTTCTTAATATAGCGACGAGATACACATATTTCGATTTATGACAGAAACAGATTTGAAGAGTTCAGTCAAATAATAAACTTATTTCCTTAACCAATTTAAATATAATTTTTATTTACAGAAGCTATCTCGCATATTTCGCGTAAATTACATTATATAAAAGTAATACATTAAGTTCATTTCGCGTAAACACGTCTCCAGTATTTTAATTAAATATATACGTACTGTATGTACACTGAAACCAAACATTTAATACATTTCTTATAAAGATTTAATAAACAAAAACGTCTTGAAGTTCTAACTCATATTGCGTCCGAAGCTTATTTATATATTCCTCATGTTATACACGAAAACATAGAAAACATAACAGATACGCTTCGAGAAAACTTGGCCGTTCGTCATATTACCTAAGTAGTGTCAAGTATTTTCGTTAGATAATGTTATCTTGCTACAGGGAATAGTGAAGTAGCCAGATGTGAACTACACTAATATAACCCGACCCTCCTATTTGGTCCTGGGGTATTAGCGCATTAGCAAGCACTCTACTAAGGACTTTCGTTTAGAGCGAAGTCACCACTCCAAAATTCAGAAAACGAATAATAATAATAATGAAAAACAAGACAATAAAGGATAGTGGGTTGACTTAAACTGCAAACATACCTGCAAAGAAGTATCATGTTAAGTGTGAAAGGTTTTCATAAATTATTTCCACTAAAATAATAAACCGTATAAGATTTCGAAGGTCGGGATATGTGTAAGAAGGATAATGTGTTTATGAAAAAAAATTTTTTTTTTTGGTTTGTTTATTCTTTTATCTTGTTGATCTTGTGATTTATTAATCTGATCAACTAGTGACTTATTAATCAATGCACAACTGATCAACTAGATAATGACATAAATATTATATTACTTCTGTATTTAATTTAAAAAATATACGTAAATAATGATAAAATAATGATGATGATAAATAACCATTTTTTTAAAGTCAAAATAAAATCGAAGTTACTTGAATATTTAAATTATATATATACTGTATAATTAAAAATTTTATTATTTAATATTATTATATTATTAGTAATTTCAAAAATAAAGATAATAGTAATAATGAATAAATAAATAAATGATAAATGGTAAATTATCAATAAATTATAAACAAGATACAAAAAAAATAAAAGTAATAATCATGCTAATAAATAACAACAAGAATATATCTATAATAAAAAAAATAAAATATTATTTGCAGTATACAGTATAATAAAACTTGAAGAATCTTTGAAAATTTAAAATTTAAAGATTTTTATTAATAATTATAAATAATAATATATATATTATAATATCTTAAAATAATTTAACATCATTATATATTATATTATTATTTATTATTTAAACTTAAAAAATAATATTTTTTATATAATTATTTAAATATTTTACCAACATATAATTTTATTTTATTATTGTAGTATATAAATTAAACAGATAATAATAATAATAATAATAATAAATAAACCAAATATGGATTATGATAGTCAAAATTATTTGAAAATTTTTAATTTTAGTTTTCTTATCAATTAATAGTATAGTTGTAAATAATTTGATTTATTTATAAAATATTCAAGTTTACAAATAATAATAATCTAATTTAATGTTTTGTAATTATCTTTATTTAATTTATAATATTTGTGAAATAGTAGCTCTAACTTTAAATATTATGTAGATTTATTTAAATTTATTTTATAATATAAATACAAAACAAAAAAATTGTTGTTATTTAATAATAAAGATACTTGTATTTAAAATTTAAATAAAATACTTTTTTATACTGTAAGTAATGATAACCGATAAATTTTTAAATTTTTCAAAGTTTTTAATTGTCATTGTATACATAAATGCTTTAATTGTTTAAATTATATTTAAATTTTTCGTTTAAATTAAATGAATAATCATCATAAAACTATAAAATAAAAACATTGTTTAAATTAATTAAATTTTCAAGTTTTTTTATAATATAGGCAATAATAGATAAAGCTTTAAAAAAACTTTTTATGTAATTTGTAATAATTCTTTATAATAAAAATAAATTAAAATTTATATAAATCCAATCAATTATTAACCAATTAAAACAATATTTTTACACATTTATAATTTTTGATATTTAATTTGTTATAGATTTCAGATTTTTAGATGCATTCAACTTTAAATAATTAGTTTTTATTTGAAAACTTTTTTGTGTGTGCATTTACTTTAATAAAAAAAATTTATCTACTTTCTGACATTAAAATTTGTCATGTATAAATGGCAACATTAATGTCACGGTATTTTTAAATAACTTATATTGTAATGTTATAATCTTTAATGAATTATATATTTGATCTCAATTATGTGCAATGGTTTTGTAGATGTAGATTAAAAGTCCGGTCAGAGGGTGTAATAATTAGCCATAAAGCAATCTGATGATGCATGGTAATTATGTAAGTGACAAAAAATTTATTTGAAAATACAGTATGTCTATAATTTATGATCACGTTTTATACATGTATGTGAATCTGAGTCGATATATTTCAAATTTTCAAAGCTAAAAATTTTACATAAACTATGACAAAACGAATAAAAATAAAAATGCAAACCCTTCTAAATTCCCAATCTGCTGAAAACATGATTCATATTTATCAATGACAGGTCTCTTTAAAGTTCGAAAAACGAACCGTTTTGTGGCGCATTAATATTTTAAAGAATTTGTCGACTTTATCCACCGAGAACTCTGTCTACAAGGATAATATTCAGGCAACCTGTATTTCGTCAAATAGGCATCCTCTCTTTTTTAGACATTAATGAAGGTAATCATAGTTATTCGCTATATTTGATAATGCAAAGTTATACAAAGCAAGCAGGATTTCGCAACGCTTATTTCTCTAATTATGCTAAGATTCAATTTCTTAACAATGCGTTCCTTGGTACTGGAGCTTGATTTCGAATTTAGAAATATAATCGCCATGGTTTGGGTGTACAAGATAATGAAATAATCATGCTTTTTATCTTAAAAAAAATCGATGCATAAATTGAGGCATGCACGGGCTCTATGTAGAGTTTCTAGTATGCATTCGAAGTATCAATTCCAAATAAATTGACTTCAACAAATTAGAGTACTATGATGGTTTTTTTGCTGTACTGTATACTGTAATTTTTTCAATGATTATCTTTACTAAAACAATCGAATTATTGAATAAATGACTAAATGCGGTGAATTATAGAAATGCACTTGCGTATTACTAAAAACAAAAATTTTATCCCTTTTTGTATTGACTATTACAGTAAATACAAGTTACTATAATTCTTTTCTCGATACAGTAATAGTAAAGAATTCGTTTTATTATTTAACTATACCTAATTTCTTTGTTAGAACAATGGGTTGAATCTTTTCGGAAACTCTTCTAGTAAAATAGTTACGGTTAAAGAAGAAATATCTTTACAATATGCAAATTATTAGAACTCTCATGAAACGATATAAAGTATAAATTAACATCAAGGATTTCGAGGTTTTAAAACAAAATCAACCGACATATTCTAAGATTTAAAAAACAAAAATCAAACGACATATTCTTAATAAACATGAACAGCTCATCATTTCACACCGTGACTATTGCTGGTGGTATAGGTTTTGTTGGCTATCACATTACCGAAGCATTTTTGAATGATGGATCTTATAAAGTAAAGGTTCTTCAAAGAAAGCCAGAGAAACAAAATGAGAAAGTCGCTTTGTTGACTTCCAAGGGTGTAGAAATTGTTTATGCAGACTATAATCAACATGATGATCTTGTCAAAGCTCTTCAAGGAACCGACGTCGTTATCAGTGCTTTGAGTCCCGAAACAACTAGCGTTCCTTTTGACTATGAAGCCATCCAATTTCCATTGTTAACTGCTGCTAAAGAAGCGAATGTGAAGAGATTTATTCCGTCTGAATATGGTTTCCTATATAGGTACGTGTATACTATACAGTATTATGGTTGATACTCTTTATTACCGAGTCCTGACAGTTTTTTTTTTAATAAAAGTGACAATACTCATATGATAACAGATGGTAAAGCCAAACTTCGCGAAAAAATAGAAAATATTGGGATTGAATATACGTATTTCTCCGTCGGATTGCTTCAAGAATATGTTAGTTGGCTTGGCTTTGACGTTGAAAATAAGAAAGCTACATTCTATGCGGATGAAAACAGTAAGATATCGATTACCTCTGTCACTGATATTGGAAAATATATAGTTGAGTCGCTTAAAATGCAAGAATCGCGCAATGCTTCGATTATGGTCGCTGGCACTACCTTATCCCTAAATGAAATCCTTCAAAAGTACGAAGCGGCTACCGGTAAGTATACATCTTATGTTATACGCGGTTTTTAAATAGTGATGCTAATTGATCGTTTTATTTATATTAAGGTTCTAAATGGGATGTTATTAAAGATAAAGAAGCACAAGAACCGATGGATCAATTTAGAGTCGTCATTCAGAAAAATGGGGCGTTTGATAAAGTTGATAATGACAAATTTAGTTTTCAACCTCGTCCCCTTACGGAGGTTAACACTAAAATGTAAAAAATAAAAATAAATTCTCTTATTTAGAGCTTATTAAAGTGTAAATTATAAATTTTTTTTAATAAAGTGACATGATTTAATCTTATGACTATTAAAATCGAGAATTAAATTGTTTATCTAAACCAGTTAGTCACTAATCCAAACCTAATTTGAAACGGGATATTTTGACTCAAGTTACATTGATCTAAATAAATAAATATATATATATCTCTTTTTTTAAAAAAAAAACCCCCATTTTATTATTTTTATTTTTTTCTTTAATTTTACCCCTTATACTATCAAAAAATTATCTTAAATTTAAAATTTTTTTCCAATTTAAATTATTTCAATTCAAATGTTTTTCAAATTATATTATGTAAAATTATTATTATATAAATCATACAGTATATAATAATTTTATTTAAAATTTTAATATATTGTATTATTGTTTATATTTTAAAAAACATATATTGTATATATACTTTTTATATTTTTTTAATGGGAAAACATCAAATTAAAAAAATATATATTTATTGGCCATAAGTAATTTATAAGATCTAATTTAACAAGTAGTTTTTATAATTTGATAAAAAATTTTATAATAAGGAATACACATCCCTCTTTTATATTATTGAAAATCAACAATTGTTAATTAATAAAGACAAAATTTTATATCATTTATTTTCATTTTTTATGTAAGAACAAACAATGATTACATTTATAAAAACCAGTTTTTTTCATAAGTTTTTTTTTAAAAAAAAATACATGAAAGTAAATTGATTATTAAAAAAAGAAATCAAATAATTTATATTTATCTTATAAATTCAAATGGACTAAAAACAATAATTGCATTGAATATTTCTAATGCAATAATATATGACTTTATAAACTATTACAAGAAAATTGTCACTTCTTATCCAAAAACATAATCTGGTTAACTAATAGCTTTTTCAAATTATAAACAATATTATTTAAAATATATTATATTAAAAAATTAATTTTTACTTTTAAAAAAATTACTGACAAATTAAATAAAAATATTAACATAATTTATAATTCTAAAACTATTTGAAAATATTTTTATAATTTTAATTTAAGAAGTTATACTACACAAAAAAAATCTTTTTTAATTAAATAATAACAAATTCATTAATTAAAATAATATTGTAACAGAATAAGTTTGCATGCAACTATCATCATATAACTGATATTTGCAAAAGGTCTGTTTAGTTAATAGTGCACAATTATTTAATAATAGAGAAAAAAAAATTATGAAAAAAAAATTATATAATATAATCACTATTGTTCTCTAATAGTATAGCCATTCTTAATAATATAAAACAAAAGTATAAAAAAAATATAAAATATAAAAAACCAAGATAAGAATAAAAGAAAAAATTAATAAAAACTTAATTAAATAAAAACATGTCTCAAATTATTCTTTTATTTACTTATCTGCTAACAGTTATACAAATCTCTGTCAAAGTTAATGACTAACTTATTATTACATTGTTACAGTATCAAGCCAAACATAATTAGAATAAAAAATAAAAGCAGATTGTATAATCAAATAAAGTGTAAAAAGAAATAAGTAAAATTTATAATAAAGATTGTATTAGATTCATAGTTAAATTTGATAAACAATCTATTATATTTTAAAGTTGTTTTAGCTGATATAAAATTGAATTATTAATAATAATCAAAGAAAATATAAAATTGAATTATTAATAATAATCAAAGAAAATATAAATTTTAATATATATATTAATACTAAAATTAAGTTTTTAAATTAAAGACAAAACTTAATTCAAATATTTTTACTATTAAAAAAAAACTATTTATAAAGATTTTTTACAATTTAAATCCTTAAATTCAAATATTTTTTGAATTATATTTTTATTAAAATAACAAATAAATAATTATATATCTTTAAAAAAAAAATAATTGATTTACAAAATTTTATATATTAAATAATTTATAAATCTATTCTTAGTTAATATATTAGCAAATTATTTGATATTATATTTTTGCAATAATTAAAATATAATATTTTAACAAAATTTTATTTTAATATTTAGATTTTAGATTGTATTTCATAAAATCTAAACTTAAACAAAATTAAATTTGAGTTACACAAAAAATAAGCAAATATTACTATAAATACTTTATATAATCTTATTTTAAATATACTGAAACATATCAAAAACATTATTAAAGTTAAAAACAAATATACTAAATATAAAAAAAAATTTTTTTTTGTTTTTTTAAACTATAAAACAAAAAATTTTTTTTTATATTACTATATATTTTTTTATAAATAAAAAATAAATTTAAAATTATATCTTTATTTAATCAATTATAAATTTTTAATAATATAAGAAAAAAATGTATATAATATAAATATTGATCATTTTAAAATTTTATAACTATATAATTTTTGTAATACAAACATTATTTGTTTGAAAATCTTTCTTAAAAATGTTTATTCTGTTTTATAAATATACAAAGTCACTTTCTTATATCATTATTACAAAAATTTTAAGCACAAATATAAAGACATAATAAAAATAATTAATTATTTTATAAATACTATAAGTTTTTAAAAATATATATAATTAAAAATCAAGAATTTAAATAGTAATTCAAAAATAAAACAAAAACTATATACAATTATAAAAATTAATAAAAAATTATAAAAATTACAAAAAATATTATTATTATTATAAAACTTATAATTTAATAATAAATAAATAAATAAGAAACTTATATTAATATATAAACTATTAAATATTAGTTTAAAGAAGTTGGAAAAAAATATAATTAATCAATTTATAAGTTATTGTTTTTGAATAATTATATAAAAAAATAACTTTGGTAAATAAAAAAACATATAGATTTTAACTAGAAAAATATTATTTTTATAAATAAATTATAAAATATTTGATTAAACTTAATATATATGAGTTATTTTTTAGCTTTAGATTTTGAAAACTTATTTGTTTTAAAAAAAATCTTAATATATATGTATATATGTATAGTATATATAAAAAGAATTTTTTATTTTTTGTTCAAAAGCTTTTTAAATAAAATAACTTAAATTAAATTTGATTAAGAACAATAATTTTAAATACAAATCAAAAATTTCTTAAAGATAAAAGATAAAATAATATAAAAATTTTTTTTAGCCAACAATATTATCTAATTTAAATTTTATTAAAAATATTTAACAAGTTTTCAAATTAATTCATTATATAGTTTAGTAATAAAATTATATTAAAAGTAAATAATATTCTAAACAAGCTATTTATAATTTAATTGCAAATATATATAAATATATTTTATTCTTAATAAAAACAAAAAAAAATTATATAAATATTAATAATTACAATTATATTCTTACAGGGAAACAATAATCAGCAATATGGTTTAGAAATTGAGAAAATGATGATCACGCATTATAGTGGTTGCCAAAACAGATAATCAACCCTCAACCTTGTTATTTCTTTTATTTTCTTTATTTCTTTTATTTCTGTTATTTTTTTTATTTCTTTTATTTATTTCTTTTCTTTTGTTGTAAGAAAATGTATAAAAACAATGTAAGAAAATGTAGTAGAAAAAAAGAAGAACAGAAAAATTAGTCAATAAAAGAGTGTTAAAATCAACCTACTTATCGCACTGTTCTGATCAATAAAATTCCTCAAATCCCACAAACTTATCAAGTCTATATCTTTTTCTGCCTTTAAGCCTCCCTGTTATATCAGATACTTCTGTCAAAGTATCATGAAATCTAGGATTTTGCCGTTACTGCTGATAGACCCCTGACCCGCGACAATATATAATCTTTTTAAAAAACAATTAAATAAAATAATATATTTTTTTGATAATATAAAACTATATAAGTTAATTGAAAAGATTTAATTAAAACAAATAAAAAATATAATAATTCTACTTGAATATATTTTTAGAAATAAATTTGAAATATTTAAAATTAATATAAGAATAGCATTAATAATTATTAAAAATAAAAAAGTAATAAAAAAAATTACAAAGAAAAAATATCACAAACTTTTTTGTATTTTTAAGCTTATATCATAATTGATTTATAAAAGAGAAAGTAAAGAATATTTTTTTAAAAAAAATTATTATAAAAGAAATTTTTAAAAAATTAGCAATAAATAAGTGAAAGTTTTTTGATATATAAAATATAAGATATTAAATTTTAAATAAAATTATTATATAAATAAAAATTGAATTATATAATAAAATAACTTTTGTTTTTTTAATAATTATAAGATTAAAACTGCTGGAACCCAGCTTCGATCTCATTCCCTTTATTTGTTAAAATGACATCATCACCCAACCTTAATCACTTATTAAAAACACATACACAACAGACTCTTTCACCAAATTTGCCCAATACTCATATCAAAAACCTACTCAACATCTCAACTCTAAATGTTCGAGGGTTAAATAACAGAAGCAAGTTAACAGTATTATCTCAAGATCTCAAGAATGATAGAACCATCCTGTGTTGCTCAGAAACAAAAATCTCAGATGGAAACCCCATCCCCAGAAAGCTTAATAACAAGACAATTATCTCTAGCACACCATTCAGCTCATCAAAAAATGGCTCTTGCCTAATTATAGGAAAGGATTTAAGCAGCCATATTTTCAAAACATTCACTGAGAACGAATACTGGTGTGCAGTTCATCTCAAGTTTAAATCAAAAACCGATATTATAGTCACTTTTATATATCTCCCACACGAACATGACAAAAGAAAGACAGCAACTTAGTCACTAATCCAATTCATAAAAAAATTTAAGAAGTTGATACACCAAATAATGGCAGGAGACTTCAACACATACCCGTCAGGCACACCAGCCATTAATGCCCCAACAACAAATCCAAAAAAGAGAATCTATAACTATTTGCACAATTGGACAGACATCGTTAAAGCAATGAACAAAAAGAACGAGTACACACATATAATCCAAACAAGTGCATTGAGAATAGACCAA